TGACCTGTGGCAGTGCTCAGCCAGGCCAGGGGCCAGGTTGTCCCCTGCTGCTGGGCTGGCCACTGGGGAGACCCCAGTGCAGCCTGGGCAGCACCGGGAGCAAGGGGGTGACCAGCCAGGCTGTGAGTGCAGCCATCCCGTGTCTCTCCTGCGCCTCCGTCGGTGCGCCCTGTTCTTTCAGTGCGTGTGAGGAAAGAGGAGAAAATCTTCTCAGCCTTGCTGATATTAACTTAATTCATCTCTGTGGGCTGGAATGTCAGATGTGATGAACAAGCTGGATCAGGGCTCGTTAATTTTCTTCAGAGAGGCCCAAAGAGGCGCAGAAAGGTTATCTGTAGACAAGCTTTAGTACTATGGGACGTAATAAAAAATTACCAGGATGGGAAAGTAATTGTTGTGCCTGATCTCGCTGTCAGCAGCCACAGAGCATTCGGGACAGTAGCACCCACGCAGCCTTGGTCGAGTCACCTACCCGCAGCTCCTGGCATGCCGCCTGCTTCCCAGGACTGTGGAGATTTATTAGTTCCTGCTTGTGCACTGTGCTAGAAGTACAAAGTGCTAGATGTTGCTAAAAGACATTATGAAAAAAAGTGTTATGGACAACAACAATATTTTACAGTCTGATTTTTTTCTTTCTCCACTAAAGTTTCCATGCTCAAATACTGTATAAACACACAATGTGCACACACACACACACACACACGTACACACAGAAAAAGGAGGGGAAAGGAACAAGAAACCAAATGTGCACATGTGAAATAATGCCAAAATGGACTTAAATGGCTTGCTAGGTCATTATAGAGCAGTAATTAACTGACCTGACCAGTGGAATATTTATTTTTTGTTTTCAAAAAGGCCAGGATAGGAATATTGGCTGGCTGTTCTTGCACTTTTTCCAAATCTAAGAAAAACTGGTTTCTGTGGAAGCCTTGTGCATTACTTCTGGGAACCTAAACTGCAGCCACACAGGAGTGCTGCACAGGGACCAGGAGGGTGAGCAGATGAACATGCAAAGTGAGATTGATTGTTTCATTTTCTTGGTCTAGCTTGAGAGAGGCAATAAAGAGCACAAGAGAAACAAATGTCCGAAAAAATGAGTATTATGAATCGCTTTTTTTAAAGCCATATAAGGGCGTATTTATAACACAGTAAATGGTTTTTAATTGAATTTTACATGCAGCTGAAATTCTATACTGAAAACAAAATTCAGTGTGACACTTCCAGAGAGGAGCGCTCTGAACATGTGTTTTGTGTTGGACCAGGTTCTCCCGACTGACGAATCTGTTGAACATAAGAAGTCCCACAGACAGAGCCATAGGAAGAAAGTCCTCCCGGAGATCTACCTGACCAGGCTGCTCTCCACGAAGGTAGGAGATTGGACGCCCTCGCTCGCAGCAGTCGGGGCTGTCGTTCGTGGTCTGTAGCTCCAGGCAAGGAGCGTAGCGGGGCCGGGTGCTCTCAAGAGGCAGTGGCACTCTTCTGTCCTGGGTGGCTGGAGCGTGTTCAGCGAGGCTGCCGGGCTCTGCCGGTTCCTTGGGCTCCTGCCAGTGTTCCGGCCTCCCCTCCGACCAGCAGCGCCACTGTGTGAAGCCCCACATGAGGTCCCCGGGCTGCTCTGGGGTCTGTACACTTGAAAGGGATGCTGTTCGCCCCAGGGCTCGCGATGGCACGGTTTAGACCTGAACCCACCTCCGCAGCGAGACATCCTGCTGGGAAAGGAGATGGATACGCTCTGCTCTGGGAGCCGGGGGAATGTCTGTGCGACCTTAATTCAGATTTGAACTTGCCCGTTCTCTGCGAGTACTCGGCTCCAGCAGTTGGGCTCCCAGCCCATCTTTAATCCCAGCATGATGCCTCATTGGAGCAGAGATCACAAGAATGGCCAGCAGTCTCTAGTCTTCTTTGTATTTACTGTGCAGAACAATCACAGATGTGAGATCCTAGCAGTAAGAAAGAAAATCTTGATGCCAAAAGAAATTAAACCCAAATGTAAGCTAATTATATCGCTATGCACAAATAAACCTTTCTCTCACTGCTTTAGCATCCCCTTTCTCATCTGCTTTATCCAACTGGCAGCAAAGGATTTCCCCCTGTGCACAGCAGTCATAGCCCCTCACACTGTTATCCTGGGCTCGGGTGCTGCTGCTTCCCCCATCTCCATCGTGTGTGTTTGTCCTGCAGGGCACGCTGCAGAAGTTCCTGGATGACTTGTTCAAAGCCATTCTCAGTATCCGAGATGATAAACCGCCTGTGGCCGTGAAGTATTTCTTTGACTTCCTAGAGGAGCAAGCAGAGAAAAGAGGGATCACAGACCCTGACACTATGCACATCTGGAAGACCAACAGGTTTGAAAGAGGAAATCTTTCTTCCCTTCCTTCTGTCTCTCAGAAGAAGCAGCTGCAAAACCTTGGTGTCCTGGACTAATCGTTAGGTTGCTAGAAGTAGAAGAGGAACTTGGAAAACAGGAGAGGCAATGGAGGGTCGGCAAAAGATGAGGCCAGACACAAGCTTGGAGAGCACTGAACAAACACAGCTCAGGGGAACAGCAAGCTGGAAGAGGAGGCACAGGCAGATAAAGGGCAGAACGAGCTGGCACACTCGTGCCAATACTTAAAGGAGGAACAGAAGAGGGACGAGATGATAGGAGACAGCAGTGGTGGTAGCTCCAAGCACTGAAGCTCTGAGACAGAGTTCAAAATAACGTCAGGTCTTAAAACATCATGGAGATTTTAAAACCAGCCTATTTGGCCCCTTTTCATTTGCTTTCTGGCTTTTCAGCCCTTGGGGGCACTTTTCCTGACTTATCTCTGTAACCAAGCTGAGACTCTGGGGCATTTGTGGAACTCCGGGGCCGGGTGCTGTGACAAGGCTGTGCTGGCGGCACCGTAGCACGAAGGACCAGCCAGGAGCGGAACTGAGGGAAGTGATGAGCAGCAGGAGTGAGGTGGGGAGCTGGAGAGAAGGGAGGAAATAGAGCAGGGGAGGAAACAGAAGGTTTGACTGGGGAGAGCAAGGAGGTTGGAGGGAGTGTCGAGAAGAGGCTGCAGGGACAGTAACTGTTTCCAGTCCAACATGTGAAAATTAAAACCAAATTTGGCTGGGATAGCAGGCATGTAGGCATGATCATTGTGCTACAGCTTTGCCTACCCTTCATTACCTTTAATTGCCAGTAGAGCAAAGACTTATAGCTCCTTTCACTACTCAGCTGCTGAGGAGGGCTCGTAGGAAGGGTGAGCGATAAAACTGAAACTGTTTTGTGGCCAAATGAGCAGTGAGATAACTGGAGGAGAAAATGATGAGAGAGCAGGAAAAAAAGACACATGAAATGCATTTAACAGGGCCAGGCTTTACCATCAGAACCAGATGACGGTTACTGTCAGGGAAGAAGGAGAAGGAGCTGACACCATTGCTACAGAAATCAGCAAGTGGGAAAGCCTGATCCAACAGCCCGACGCAGCAAACCCGGCAGCGTCTCTCCTGGAGTGCAGCTGGCTTAGGGAGCCGGGATCTGTGCTTGCCTAGACGAGCTGTGTCACCGCTGCGCGCTTCAGCCTGGAGAAATGTCTCTTCAGGGTGCAGAGGGCTGCCTGCCCCTCCGCCTAGGCAGAGGATGTGATTAAGTAGCAGAACCTGGCTCTCCTTGGTTTTCCTCTCTGCTATTCTCTATCTATCACCATCTTTCCTGCGTTTCCTCCTCTTCTCCCTCTGGAGTACAAAAACTCACCCTGTGTGTGTCCTGGCTTGTTTCCTTCTCAGCCTACCTCTGAGATTTTGGGTCAACATCCTGAAGAACCCGCAGTTCGTCTTCGACATCGACAAGACAGACCACATCGACGCCTGTCTCTCCGTGATAGCCCAGGCCTTCATTGACGCCTGCTCTCTGTCTGACCTGCAGCTGGGCAAGGTACCGTCCAGAGGTGACATCCATCATTCTGCTCAGGCTCGAGCTTGAAATTTGCACCGGCTCCGGCCCAACCAGCAGCCGGGCCATGGCCGCAGCAGGATGCATGGGGACAAGACCCCGTCCCAGGGGGCCTGGAGGGCGGAGGGGCTCGATGCCGGTGCTGTGCTCGGCATTACCCGTGGTGCGATGGTCTGGCCCGCAGCCGCAGGAGAGCACCCGGGCGTGCTCAGTGTCTGTGATGCTTCCTGGCTGGGCTCAGCGGGTGCCTCGGCGTACAAACAGTCTCTGCTGCTGACTCGGGCCGGGGTGTGATGTACCCAGGCTGAACGAGTGGGTGTC